ACATCCTTCTAACTTGGCCAACTCTAGGAAATGTACATTTTGAGAAATAATAATCATATCATAGCTTCAGGTTTACAGGGTTTCCCCCACCCCCTTATATGAATAAGGAACAGACGTGCTATGGAGCCCATGGCAATTATTTTCCATACATCATTACAAGAGCAAGCAAGGTTAGGCAAAACCAGTGGCCAAGTTTTTTAAAGTGCCCCATAGTACCCCAAGAATTAAGGAAATCATTCTGGCGGCTGTGAAGGTTTCATATGAAAATGATTTTAGCATCCCTTTAGACAAGATAACATCTATACATTCTGAGAATATAACTAATATTTTAATACCATGCAGATCAATATGGCATGAGGACATAAGAAGCACATGGTTTGGTGTGAGTTGTGTTGCTTGCCTTCCCGTTTTTCTTTTGGTCCCTTCCTTTTTCCCTCGTGAAATTGAGCCAAACCGAACAGCTTCACCTGCCTGCATCATATTTCTGCTCAGTTCTGCTCTAATATATGTTTAATGAAGAGAAGGACGAGGGGAGACAGGATAGCAGCGTTCCAATATCTCAGGGGCTGCCCCAAAGAAGAGGGAGTCAAGCTATTCTCCAAAGCACCCGAAGGCAGGACAAGAAGCAATGGATGGAAACTCATCAAGGAGAGAAGCAACCTAGAACTAAGGAGAAACTTCCTGACAGTTAGAACAATTAACCAGTGGAACAACCTGCCTCCAGAAGTGGTGAATGCTCCAACACTGGAAGTCTTTAAGAAGAGACTGGACAGCCATTTGTCCGAAATGGTACTATAGGGTTTCCTGCCTGAGCAGGGGGTTGGACTAGATGACCTCCAAGGTCCCTTCCCTATTATTATTATTATTATTATTATTATTATTATTATTATTATTATTATTATTATTATTATTATTATTATTATTATTATTATTATATTCCTCTTCAATTTCTTCTTTCCCGACCTGATGCTCCTGCCCATTTGCTACAAAACTTTTCAGCAGTTTGCAGTCTTTTAAAACAACCGCAGGGCAAAAGGGACACCTTGACAAGATTTCCCAGGGTCTGCATTTTTTTCCTACAACAGCTGATCTTTGTAACTGGCAACACACCGCGGGTTAACGCTAGGACCCTTTGCAAACGAATCCCACTCCAAAAAGAGCTGCACAGATTCTGTGCTGCAGCCCCAAACCGTGGAATGCTTTACCTTAGACCCCCGTAGGGAGGGAAAAAAAGGAAAACTGTAGGAACAAACAGGCAAATCCTGCAAAATCTTTCCCTTTTTCTGCTGCAGAGTTTGGTGGGACTGGCCAGGCCGAAGTAAAACCAAAACACTGGATCGCTTTTTTTAGTGGGGGTGCAAAAAAAACGTTCCTACCTTCGCTCATTCTGGTGCTCTCTGTCCGAAGTGTGAAAAGTCAACGGTCTTGCAAGCAACCTCAGGTAATGCTCTCCTCTGTGTTTCCACCCCTGATACAAATAGAGTTCAGTTCAGCCTCTACCACTCTGTGCCTTGTCCAGCTGTCTGCTTTTAACCCATCATTTACTGGCACGGAGCACTGAATCCCTTCCACCGAGAGGAACCTGGGCAGTGCTCACCTCCTGGGAAGGGACGATGGTTGAAGAATCAGTCTCTCTGGAGTTGATTTGGCAAGGGGGTCTTCCCAAGCCATCTGGTTGGCCACTGTAAAAATATTAAATGTAGACCTTTGAATTAATCCAGCTTCATCATAGTTCTGGCCTGCTGGAGCGGAGGAGTGGAATCTCCAGGTTGATCTTTAGAATACGAGGTCAAAGGGGATGGAGAGCGGGGTGCTGGAGGAGAGGAAGTGTAGAAAGAGGTTAGAGATGGCTTCTGGGTTTCTCAGAGGCATGCGAATGGGGCACTAAGTGGGGGTCGAATGCTGGCATGCCTGTTGGCCTCACGCAGCTGGGTTCTTATGACTGTGAGTCGTGGGTGGTGAATCCCACACAGATGTAGCTGTCTCCAAGAATCAACCCTAGGGCAACTGTCTTGCATTAATTCTCCTGGGGATGAAGGTGTGAACAGATGGAAGATGTGGGTCCTCCTTAAAAGTTTCTTGCGAGGGGAAGGGCCGTAACTCTGCCCTTTGGTTTAACCCCCACCTTTCCAGATAGGTTTGCAAAAGACATGAAAGCACAGGGATCTGCCTGTTGGGTCAATGTGGCAACTTTAAGAAGCCGGATTTGAATGCATCAATAACACAATAAACTGGTGAACAGAGGATGGTGCTTCGTTACTTTTGTTAAAATAAAATAGAATTTAAAAAAAAACAAAAACCTTTTTACTTTTGGAGGAGCTCTTGACAGCCTTTGCTGCCTCTCCACCATCTTGGCTCCTACTGCTTAATTATATCCTACCTACCTGCTAGCTGGAGTGACTATGACCTGGATGGGAAGGCTTAAAGCGGGCTGCAGTTCCCATCACCCCTTGCTACTGGATATGCTGGTTAGGACTTCAACCGGGTCTTCTGGTGAAATGAATCACTCCATGTAAACCAGGTCCACATCCCAGCTTAAACCTTTGGGGAAGGAACAGACCGAATTGCCAATTCTTACAAGACTAACACAGTCCTTAATTGAACTTTTTGCAGCCCTTGTGTAACACAAAGATTCCCACATTCTTTTCCCTACTAATAGGGCAGAGATTGTGGGTTTCCGTTTCTAGTGCTAGCTAGAAATCAAACATCAACCCCTCAGCCTTTAAAATGAAAGGCAAACCCACTTGGCCTCCTTCTTATAGTACAGATCCCTGATTCCATCTTGCTCCTTAAGGTTACAGTGGTCCCATTAGGATGAAGATGATAAAGTGGATATTTCTTCCTATATTTGCTTTGACAAAAGTTTTCAAACATTGGGTGTCCTGCTCAGCTGCATACACAATCGACAACTATCAAGGTGTTGTTCAAATTCTAGGTGCCCATCCACCTGCTAAAACAAACCACAGGGCAGGTTCCTGCAGTTTGTCTGACCATGGAAGAGTCAAGCAGAATGATCTACTTGCCCGAGGACCCCAGAACTTAACCCACAATTCTTATGTGGCTTACTGTGATACGCAGACGTGGGCCGTGATCTAACTTGATACAAGGCAGCTTCTTTGAGAAGGGAAAATCTAGCAAGAAACTATTATTCCAGATATTAGTACTGATCAAAAGGAATGTTCGAGAACTTGAAGCTCCGTGGAGATGCCTCCTCTATCTCTGGCTTGGCTCCCCTTGGCTATGCTTAACATCACAGAGGCAGGAATGCAGCCTGGGGGTGTCCGAGTGTTCAAAGTATGTATGGCTGCTTAAGAAAGGAACACTGGTCTGGTTGAAAGGGTGCAGGATCCCACCTCGTTAATGAAATACCACCAATTCCTGTATTTGCTTTGACAAAAGTTTTCAAACATTGAAGAGCTCTTTAGAGAAGGTGGCATGCACGGATCTGCAAGAGCACGACGTTTTAGGAGAGAGAAAAGGAGAACGGAGGTACATCTTTAATTCTACATGCCTTCCAGTTTGTCCTTGCTGTCATTCCCCATTTCTTCTCTATTTAATTTACATTCCCCCACCCCTCCTTCTCTTGTCTATTTTAACATTCTATTCTTGGAAATTATAGACCAAAAGGGCAAAATGAGAGAGACACACACATACAATCTCATAGGCGCTAAGTACATATTGACACAGTGCTCAGAAACAAAGAGAGAGAGAGAGAGAGAGACAGACAGACAGACAGACGAGAGTCAGAGAGAGGAGAAAAAAAACTCTGAGTCAGCAGGGACCTTGGAGCCAAGAAAGATAAAACCTGAAATTTCATTAGGCACTTCATTTCTATAGACAAGTTATAGGATTATCTGGGGTTATTATTTTTTTTAAAAAAAATGATGTGCAAGACAGCACCTTTTATAATTAATAAACAGCCTTCTCCGTGCACTCAATTTATTCATTTATTTTATTTTTAAAAAATTTATATGCTACCCATCTCACTCTGAAAAACAACTCTGGGCAATGCAAGCCAAGTTGCATTCAACCTTTTTTGCAGAAACTGTCAAGATGGTTATATTTTCCTGGCATGGGATGCAGCATCGAACTTTCAAAACTACTGGTTTGCAATGATAATTCCCGAAGTTTCACAAAGCCTTGAAAAAGGCAGGTTCTTGAGATCACCTCCTCCAGGTAAAAAAATCTACCCGCCTCCTATGTTGTAGGCATAGAGAATGCAGGCGTGCTGTGAGTTCCCATCCTTATCCACACCCATCTTGGACACACCTGGGTGTAAAACAGGTAAGGGACTGGAATCCAGCTTTTTTATGGAAAGCTAGGGGTCTGTTCTCCCAGAATAGCTTAGCTTGCGGAGACCACCACAAAGGGCCCCATCCGTGATAATATCCAGGAAAGCAATTCAAACATTACTGAGGATGGAAGCATTTCCTGATTTAGAGTGATCTTTTCCCCAATACATGCTGAATTAGGAATGTTAGGTTATTAGGTTATTTACTGGTGTATTGATTTAGTTAGGATTGTATTTTTTTGTTGTTGGTCTTCGATTATGCAAGCGGATCAGAGCAGTATGAATGAGGTAGCATATAAGATCCAATAATGAGATAGAGGAACCATTATTTGTGCTTTAAATTTAAGCTCTGTGTCGTGGACATCGGTGGGGTGGATTTATGGGAGAGCCAGTAACGTCAAGCATTGTGATGTCATCCCACAAAGACAAGGATTGCGGACTGAATGCATTTGCATCGTGATTTTTGTGATGCCCTTGGGGTGTCTGGCATGGATGATGTTCCTAGCTGGTCAGTTTGAGTTTCCTTCTGTGACTTTTCTGATTGGTGTCAGATTTTATTGCCTTGTATTTGAGGGCATTGTTTTTGCACGTCCTACACAGCGGGCTGCCTTTGGAGTGATATAAGCAGGTAATAAATGTAATTAGGAGCAATTAGACAACCCAAGACAATCTGAAAGGAAATGGAAGAATTGTGCAATCACTACCACTTGAATCTGTAGTAGAAGGAGGTGACCAGGAGATGAGAATAGGAAAAGGACTTATTAAAGCAGCCAGATGTGTTAGGCATCAGTTCCAATAACCTTTAGACGGCATGAGCAATGGCTAGGCTTATGGAGAATTGAAATCCAAGTTGGATTAAAGTTCCTTAATAGCTGACCCTCAAGTTCAACAGTTATTCCTGTTATTAAAAAAAAAAAGTAAGGTAGTCCTTAATGACCCCAATTGGGACCTGCAACTTTACTAGTAGGTTGGAAATCACATGACCATAACTGTGCTTTCCAGCTAGAAAGAGACAAGACTATTTAATTTCCCATCTTCCGTTTCTGTTTGTCTCCTAGCCACTTCCTTACCCTTTGGAATGCATGAGTGCCTGCTTACTATTTTGTATACATCAAAAGCAATGTGATGCGTTGGCAGCCGGAGGCTGGGAGCTGGAATGGAATGCTATGCAAACAGCTTGCTCTCTTGAAATCCCTTTCTCTCCAATCTCTCTGCTCTGCAGGAGAGGGGGAGAGAAAAGGCAAGTAATTTCTATAGGCAAATCTCTCCTTTGACTGACCCTTCTCCCACACACATACCCAGAGAGCAGAGAGATTGGAGAGAAAGAGATTTCAAGAGAGTATCATAAGCTGTGTAGCATGCTATTCTTTTCAGCACCATTGAAACTTATCTCTGAACATGTGGTCAGTAAGTGAGGAATACTTGTATGCTGTTTACAATGGCTAGGAAACAATCTGGAAATATCTTCAGAAAGCTATGCGGGCAAAGGTGATTTCTGCATAGATTCTTAATTCATCCATCTTATAGGAAGCAAGTACACACGATTTCACATTCCGTGTGTGTGTGTGTGTGTGTGTGTGTTTGTCTGTAAAATAACTGATTTTTTCTTTTTTTAAAAAATAGAGATATAGAGACAACTTTTACCATGAAATCTCTCTCTAAGAATCTAATGTGGAGCAATCACAATAGTTTTGTAGAAGCTCTGTTATTTTTCTGCAATTTGTAAATGAACCCAGGTGTTATATAAATGTTTGAACCTCAACTGTCTTGTCCTCCCAAGGATGGTTCACTGATGCTGAAACTCTTCACCGTTCAGAAGGAAGTAGGCAGTCAAAATCAAATCAACTTGAGTTAACCCAAAGATGATATATGGAACTGTCCTAAATAATGTTTCATAGCAATACGTAAGTTGATTTCTACTGTCATGTTCTCAAAATGCGCCACCCTAGTTTTTCAATTGCAGTCACTTCCAATTCATTCAAATGTCCTGCTCCAGGGAATATCTTTTCAAATATTAAACTGAGGTATGGAACAAATACAGTTTTGGTCCCTGGCATTCCTAGGAATGGCTCAAAAAGATTTCTGCCTTAAACTCTGGAGAACCTCTGCTAGCCAATATCAATAATACAGAACTTGATGTACCAACCAGGTGAGTCAAACTAGAAACAGCTTCCTAATTTGCTAACCGGCCGGATTTCAAACCCAAGAGGAACAATATAATTAAGCACAATGAATTCCATTCCTGATTATAATGTCTTGAATCTTCTATATGATTAGAAGGAAGGCTACCAAAAATGACTAGTGGAAGGGGAAAACATCCTACACTTGTTGGTAAGTTGTTATTAATTTTCATTTTAATAGACCATTAGCATAAATTATCCCTGTTTCCACAGGATCTGCAAAAGAAGAAAAACAAAACAGTGGCACATAAGTAGCAATAGAATAAAATATTCTATATCGTAAGGACTGTAACAGCAGGAGTATTAGCTACAATAATATTAATAGGAGGATTGAAACTCTGCATTACTTACAAATGGAGGCATCAATGGGAAGAGACCTTCAAGAACGTCAAATGGGCAATTTAACCACCACCTGGAATTTTGTCCTTAAACTAGTTTTCAAGGGCCACACTGAACCATGAATGGCAGTTTTCTCTAAAAGTGACACAGAGTTAGCAAGTCCTGGCCAGTGGATTACAAAATCCATCTTCAGACTTCAAGTGTAGGATTTCAGGTCCTCCACAACAATGTTAGGTCAGGCGATTGACATTTTAAAGAGCAGGTCGTTGAAATTCGCCACAGCTGTCAGGTTAAGCTCATAAAGTAGGCTTAAGGGGCACCACCCTTAAGCCTGATGCTAGCCAAAATACTGGGGAATAAATAGGTAGGGAGAGGCGGTTTGGGGGGGTTGGTTAAGGCACCAGGTTGAAAAGAAGGAGACTAAGAGTCTCCTTCTGGAGTCACCTGCCTCCAGAAGCGGTGAATGCTCCAACACTGGAAGTTTTTAAGAAGAGACTGGACAGCCATTTGTCTGGAATGGTATAGGGTTTCCTGCCTGAGCAGTGGATTGGACTAGATGACCTCCAAGGTCCCTTCCAACTTTATTACTATTATTATTACTATTACATATAGAAGAAAAGTGGGGGGGGGGAGATCTGCAATCCTAAAGTTGTTGCTGAATTACAACTGCCAGCAGGAATGGCTCATTCCCCTCTTTGATGAGGCCATCTTTATTCTCTTTTAATTGCTTGGCTGTTAGGTTTTGCTTAGGTGGCTTAGTTATTTTTTAAATAATCCTTATTACCACAGATATTTTTTTTTTTTGCCATCCTCTATGTAATCTGCTTTGAATCTTTGGATTGTGATGGGGTTGCAAACATACTGTAGCAAAATAAAATAAAATAAAATAATAAAATAAAGGGAGGAATTCTGAGAATTATAATTCAGCAACGTTTTGAGAGTTGTGTGTTTGCCTCCCCCCTCCCCTTCTCTCTCCTCTTCGAAATCCTTTTGGTTTTCCAGGGAACGGAAAGCCAATCATTTTCAACTCGACAGTTTTGGAATGCAAAGTTGCGATGTCTGTCAAACATCCATCTATTTATTCTAGAACAATCACCCATCCAGCTGGTACAGTGCCAACCCTATCCTTTGCCAGAGCAGTTTTATTTGCCTATTGAGCAGCCAAAACCTATGCAGAGGCCTTCGGAATGCTTGGTGTCGATGGGACCTATTCTTCACCGTCACTGATGTGTTATGCTTGTGCATGATGCTCCTTTCCATGAGCACGCATGGGTTTGCGTGGGATGCCCACAAAGTCTCTTGTCTGTAAAGTGGTCTCGAGTTTTGTTCAGCACCAGCACTAGACTGAATTCTTTCCTGCTGTAATGGCATAAAATACTGCTTTTCCTCCAATGCATGGGACTGTCTCCCCCAATTTTACCTCTGCAACAGTAACAGTAGGTTGGGCCTACACAATTGATAGGCCTACATAATTGTGTAGGCTGGGCCTACACCCTACACAACTATAGGGACCGGTCCCAAGTCATATAATAATAATAATGATGATGATGATGATGATGATGATGATGATGATGATGATGATGATGATGATGATGGAAGAGACCTTGGAGGTCATCGAGTCCAACCCCCTGCTCAGGCAGGAAACCCTATACCATTTCAGACAAATGGCCGTCCAGTCTCTTCTTAAAGACTTCCAGTGTTGGAGCATTCACCGCTTCTGGAGGCAGGTTGTTCCACTGGTTAATTGTTCTAACTGTCAGGAAGTTTCTCCTTAGTTCTAGGTTGCTTCTCTCCTTGGTCAGTTTCCATCCGTTGCTTCTTGTCCGGCCTGTTCAGGCACCTTGGAGAATAGCTTGACTCCCTCTTCTTTGGGGCAGCCCCTGAGATATTGGAACACTGCTATCCTGTCCCCCCTCGTCCTTCTCTTCATTAAACTGGACATTCCCAATTCCCAAATGACATTCAGGGATAGAGAGTACTTCTTTCCTTCGCTTTTGTCTTACTGGAAAGTTGGGGTCACACACCACTCATTTCATTAGATCAAAGGAGGGTGACTGTAGAAGGTGAATCTCAAACCACAATAGTGGGGCAAGAGATGGTTAGTTGTCATCTTAAACAGCCGTGAGATTCTTCTCCACTTAGCTGTGCCATGCAAACTCTTTGATGCAAGTCATCATAGTAGGGGCAATTTCATGACTGTCCCCACTCAGTCATTGGAGGAAAGAAAAGGATGGTCATAAAGATCCGAAAAAGGCAAGTCTCTCCATTATTGAACTCACGCTCAAAATATATCCTAATAGATCACAAAAAACACCTTCCAAACATTACTTAATCACGCCTCCTATTGCCTACTGAGCCAATGAGGATGCAACGATGCTTGCCGTTACTCGCCTGAGATACAAGGGTTCATAAGAGACCAGACAAGACTCAAAGAAGTGAATTATCTATTTTCCAGAACTGAGGTCCCTGGAGTTGTTAAGTGTCATTGCCAGAACCACTAACAAGGTTCTACAACTAGGTTAGTAGCTGACTTCTGTGTTTCGTTCAAACGGTAGTTTAAGACAAACCAAAGGTTACAAAACTATGACTACGTTCGTGTAGTAGGGCATTAAGCAAGCAGCATTTCTATTTGGCTCCTCCTTGGTGCCAGTCCCGTTGGCAAGACTGGATGAATAGACTGGCGGAAACGCCTCCTGTTTGCTGATCATGACCCCTGACACTAGATTACTCCTCCCTTTAAGCCTCAGAAACTATAGTTTGCTATTAGCTTCTCGTTCCTGTTTGAAAAAGACTGTTGATTTGGATGTGATGGTCGTAAACCACAGAAGGAGCTTTGGTAGTTTGCGTCGTCATTCGCAATGGAAAGAGGAGCCAAGAGCCAAGCCAAGACATTGGCCAACGGACTGCAATACACAACTTGATTGCAATTAGGACAGCATTCTTAGCATCCTGAGGGGTCCTTGGTGCTCTCTGAGCTTGGTGGTTTTCTTACTGATGTTTCATTATCCAAACTAGGTAACATCATCAGTGCTAGAAGGGAGAGTGGTTTGCGGAGAGGAGGAAGGAGAGGAGAAGGAAGTGGAGGAGCACTGTGGGATCTCTGAGCTTGGTTGTTTTCTTGATGACATTTCATTACCCAAACTTGGTAACATCATCAGCACTGGTGATGTTACCTAGTTTGGGTCGTGAAACGTCTGCAAGGAAACCACCAAGCTCAGAGAGCACTATGGGATCCCACAGTCCTCCTTCTCCTCCTCTCCACAAACCTCACATTCTTCCACCACTGGCGATGTTACCTAGTTGAGTAATGAAACGTCCGCAAAAAACCACCAAGCTCAGAGAGCACCAAGGACCCCTCATTTCAACCCCGAGCTACAAATAGTCTCCTTTATGGAAGGCCACCTTCCAATATGGCCAGTATATTTTTAGGGATATGATCTCCGGAAGTAACGAAACCCAGATAGGTTTGTCCTCAGACACTCCCTCGTGGCATGGAGTTGTAGGGTGTGCGTCATCACATTTCACCTCAGGCTGCAATCAGCTTCTGCTGGTGCCCAAAGGGGGTGGCTTCCCGTTATTGTTTCTTCTAGGAATTCGTTTGTAGGGACAGGGCGTGTTGCCCAATCAGATTAGATAACCATTGTCCAATGTAAAAGTTGACATTGGCGAGAAAAGAAGTCCACCTTTTGTTGAAAACAGGCGTCCTTGTGACTACCTGACTTTCTGGGCAGTGAGGGTGTGGGGATGAAAAGACAGCTATCCAAACAAACATGGGTTCGTGATCAAAGTAAGCATTCACTTTACACTCAGAATAACCTCATGTGAATCCTTTAGCCATTCCAAATCCCGGCAGAGCTCGTTTAAAACCCCGCAGGGCTTCTCTCAGCCAAAGAAGCGGACGAACAGTGGATCTAGATTACTTGGCACAGGCAGCCCTCGAGTTACAACTATTCGTTTAGTGACCGTTCCATGTCACAACGGCACTTTAAAGAGTGACTGGTAAGCGTTTTTCACACGTACGACATCCCCAGGGTCACGGGATCAAAATTCAGATGGCAACCGGTTCACATTTACGGCGGTTGCAGTATCCCGGGGTGTGTGTGTGTGTGTGTGTGTCACGTAATCCCCTTTGGTGAACTTCTGACAAGCAAAGTCAATGGGGAAACCGGCTTCAATTAACAACCGTGTTACTAACAACAACCACAGCGATTCCCTTAACAACTATGGCAAGAAAAATGGTACAATGGGGGCAAAACAACTGTCTGGCTTAGCAGCAGAAATGCTGGGCCATACCTCAAGGTATGTTATGAATTGTAAAGCGTTGGCAAGGATTTCTCACTTCCTCCTACTAATAAGAGCGATCGAGAACGGTTGAGATGCAGCCCGAACGGGAAAATTGTAAAAATAAAAATAATAAAAATAAAAAAGTAAGAACCGGCCCTCGTTCTTACAGAAAAGGAACACGTAGGCACCTGTAACATGTTTAGTCCAGCCTGTTTGCTGGATTCTGAACCATTTGTCCTCTGCAATGGCAACAGGTTTCCTGGATCTCTATGAAGTGGGGGGAAAAAGAAGAGAAAATTAATACAGACTTCTGTGTTGTTGTTTTTTTTAAACATCATACGTTTTTCATTCCCTCCTTTGGTTTATATCCTGCTGTCACTAATGCAGGCAGCCTGAGCTATAGACGTATTCTAAAGGGGCGAACTAGATCTGACTTTAAGGACGTGCATTGAATGAGCACGTTCTTGAACATGCAAGTGGGTAATCTCGAAGCGCTTATCATGATTTGATCCTCCCTCTCTCTCCTTTTCTTTGAAACCCTGGCTTTTTCCTACTATTTTTTTGGTGATGGCTGCAGCCCAGATATCTTTGGCAGCTGGCCTTCTGGAAGCCACCATTTATCATCATCTGTTTATCCTGCATTTGGGGGGGGAGGGGGGAGAATAAACGCAAAGCAGTGAACATGTTTAATACTCCTGCCATCTATTTTCCAAACAACAACTCTTAATAATAATAGTAAAGTTGGAAGGGACCTTGGAGGTCATCAAGTCCAACCCCCTGCTCAGGCAGGAAACCCTATACCATTTCGGACAAATGGCTGTCCAGTCTCTTCTTAAAAACCTCCAGTGTTGGAACATTCACCGCTTCTGGAGGCAGGTTGTTCCACTGGTTAATTGTTCTAACTGTCAGGAAGTTTCTCCTTAGTTCTAGGTTGCTTCTCTCCTTGATTAGTTTCCACCCGTTGCTTCTTGTCCTGCCTTCAGGCGCCTTGGAAAATAGCTTGACTGCCTCTTCTTTGGGGCAGCCCCTGAGATATGGGAACACTGCTATCATGTCCCCCCTCGTCCTTCTCTTCGTTAGACTAGACATCCCCAATTCCAGCAGCCGTTCCTTATATGCTTTAGCCTCCAGTCCCCTAATCATCTTTGTTGCTCTTCTCTGTACTCTTTCTAGAGTCTCAGCATCACAGTGACCAAAACTGGGTGCAGTATTCCAAGTGTGGCCTTACCAAGATTGTTTTGGGGTGAGAAAGAGGGACTGGCCCAAAGTCATCCAGCTGGCTTGTCTAAGGCAGGACTACAAGCCAGGGTGTCCTGATTTTTAGTCTGGTGCCTTTAAGCATTATACCCAGCGGGTTTTCCAACAGAAGGGGGCTTGCCCTTACTTTCTTCTTCCTAGGCTGAGAGAGACAAAGACACTGGCCCAAAGTCACCCAGCTAGCTTTTATACCTACGGTAGGCCTAGAAGTCACAGGCACCTGGTTCCTAGGCCAGCACCTTACTCTGAAGTGGAATAAATGCGACGCCAGCCATTACTCCAAAATGGCTCTCATTAGTGTTCTGGTTGTCCCTTCTCTGTTACAAATCAGTAATGAAGCACAAGCCACGAACTTGCAGAGCAACCTGTTCAGTTTTTGGGTACCTCTAAACGCTTAGGTCAAACCCCCCTTTCTTATGACCGGACCGATTGGCCTCCAACGTGACGGGTGATCTACCTTGCTGATTTACCTGCCTCTCTGCTTCTTCCTGGAGATTCTGCTTCCACTTCAGAATAGGGTGGGGGGAGCTCTGGGGGGCCAGGGTAAGGGGGAGGCCACAGTGGTAACATGTTGAGAGAACCTGCAGGGTTAAAAAAAATCATCGTATCAATAGAATAGAATAGAATAGAATAGAATAGAATAGAATAGAATAGAATAGAATAGAATAGAATAGAATAGAATAGAATGTAGAGTAAGAATAGAATAGAATAGAATAGAATAGAACAAAATAGAATGTAGAGTAAGAATAGAATAGAATAGAATAGAATAGAATGTAGAGTAAGAATAGAATAGAATTAGAATAGAATGTAGAGTAAGAATAGAATAGAATTAGAATAGAATAGAATAGAATAGAATAGAATACAATAGAATGTAGAGTAAGAATAGAATAGAATGTAGAGTAAGAATAGAATAGAATTAGAATAGAATAGAATACAATAGAATAGAATAGAATGTAGAGTAAGAATAGAATAGAATAGAATGTAGAGTAAGAATAGAATAGAATAGAATAGAATAGAATAGAATAGAATAGAATAGAATAGAATAGAATAGAGGAATGGAACGGAATAGTTTTATTATCAGTTTAAATATACACTAATCAGCATACATTAAAATGAAATTTCATTGCATTCAGCTCTCAAAGAGTAACCACCTGTGATATACACTACATAATCATGACAAAAGGTTATGCATATACCCTCACACACACACACACACACACACACACACACACACACACATATGTAGACTCTCTGTAGAACAGCGACTTAACTGGCTAGGGCAGTGTCTTTTTTAAACTTTTCTAGCCCGGAGCCTTCCAGATGTTGAGGATGCAACTTACAAAATAAGAACTTTGCAAGCATTAATATCAGGCCTTTGAGATCTGCAGAGAACCCACATGGCTTTCTCACTGAACTGTCACTCTCCCCGAGCGGCAGACCGAAGTGGATATTGACTTAGCCTCTTAAGCCCGGTCTCAGATGCCTCAGACGGCAGATAACCAGCCTACAGAGATACCTGTGAGCCACAGCCTATCTCCATATCTTTCTCAGCCGGCTGCCCTTAGGACTGGGGACAACACTGTCCTTCAGCAGAGGGAACTGGGAGCGAACAGTCAGTCTGCGTGGTGTGAAATGGAGGGAGATGCTCTCTATTTCCTCCCTCCCTGCCGCCACCACTGCACGGAGATAAGAACCACGCTCCTTAGACACAAGGCTGACTGGGTTAGGGGTCCCTGCACCTAAAAAGAAATGCTTCTTGTTGAGAATTGATTTCTTTTTTTCTTTTTGCAAAGAAAAGCTGACTGTCATGGTTCCGACAGATGAAACTCTTCGAAGAACTTCGAGGCACTGTTTACCTTAAAGCATCTTTATTTGACTAGCATAGCGTCGGCACTAACACAGTCGAAGCCAAAAACCGAACTCCCCTCCCCTGAGCACGTAGTATCAAAGCACAATTCCCTCCTCCAGTTGACAGTCATAAATCACATTCCTCAATTAGTTTGAAATGCGGGGCTTCCCCTGCAGCTCTCCAGCCCGCCAATTCTTTATCATCTCTTATTTCAATAACCTTGGTTCTCACACTAGGTTCAATGTTGTTATGTCTAGCTAGACTCTCATGCACATTCCTCCCCCCACCCCCAGCATCATCTAACTCTAAAAGCAAAAAGAAGAAAACGGTTGCATCTCCATCTGTTGTCAGTGCAAAAAACATCCGATGTTAGCAGCGTTGACGCTGACATCAGTAGAAAGCTTTCAGGGGCCACAGCTTGGTGGAAGAAACACAAGCTTTGCGCGCAAGATAATCTTGCATAGGTAAGGGTGAAAAAAAGGACATCAGCCAGAAATCCTGGAGAATCACTGCCAGTCTACAATTCAGCTCCAAATTTCCATTGCCAAATAAGGCAGTTAAGTGAGTCACCTCCCCCTTGTTACGACCTTCTTGCTACAATTGTTAAGTGAATCCCTGCAGTTGTTAAGCGAGTCCAACTATCCCCCCATTGACTTTGCTTGTCGGAAAGCAAAACTGGGAAGGTGACAAAGGACAATCCCATGACTCCGGGACAGTGCAACCGTCATAAGTACATGCCAGTTGCCAAACGCCCCAACGTTGATCACGTGGCCATCGGGATGCTGCAACGGCCGTTAAGTGGGGAAAGTGGTTCATAAGTCCCTTTTTTTCAGTGCTGCTGTAGCTTTACAAAGTTGCAACTGGCTCTAAATCGAGGACTGCCTGTAATTTCAACCAGACTGGGCAAAACAGAAGGAAACCCACTTTGTACGTTCCTTTCATTGCGATAAGGATGCTAAACTTTTCTGCGGTCAGGGAAGAGGCTGGCATTGTTATGCGTTTTGTCTGGGGAGAAGAACAAACAAGTAGCATTTGGTAACACAAATCACGCACGCCGGTACTCACGGGTTGTCTGTGGCGCTGCAGGGTGGGCGTAAGTATAGATGGAGGCGGTGGGGTATTCTTGGAGATTGGTCGCCTCTTTCAAAATATCTGTTGTGTTAAGGAAAAAGGTAAAGGTTGCGTAATCACTGAGATTCAATGCATAGGCCAGGGGTCCTCAAACGTGGCCCCTTTAAGACTGGTGGACTTCAACTCCCAGAATTCCTCAGCCAGCATGCCTGGCTGAGGAATTCTGGGAGCTGAAGTCCACCAGTCATAAAAGGGCCAAGTTTGAAGACCCCTGATCTATCAGTTCATCTGTCCCATTTTTATCCTATCTTTTTCCAAAGGAATAACATCAATGTAGTTATGGTAAGAAGCATGCTCTCTGTTCACCACATCATCTGGCAAATGTTACGGCTTTATGAATATTTGAACCAGGCTTTCCTGAATCCTAGTCTAACGTGCTGAATCCTAGTCTAACAGGGGCATTAATTAATTGCGGCACTATTGCACTCTCTTTTGGTGGCTTTGTGGAACCTTCCACAACCTCGTTCTTTCCAGTTTTGTTGGACTGTATCTCCCACGTGGCTATCACGTTGGACAAAGCTGGGTGGATAATAATTCGTAAAGTAAGGTGCTCTCTGCAGAAATGTAAAAAAATAAAAATAAAATAAAATAAACTTGCTGCCCTTCAACTGTTTGTGCGTTTTGAATCAGGAGGCCCCTCTCTTTCTTGCCGGAGAGAGAGCAAAAGAGAAAGAATAAATCTTAGATAACTGTTCGGGGGGAAAAAACAACTTACCTGAATCTACTAGATCTTTGATCATGTTTAGGCAATCCGAAGCTCCATACTGGAAAGTGAATTTGAAAACAAGAAGTCCCTGGGTGGAAGCTGAGAAGAAAAGTCTATGCTGAGATCTTAAGTCAAGGCTGAGGCATCACTACAGAAGACATAATCTAGGTCTCTTTCTGTCCTGTCTGCCTCCCTGTCCTGCAAAACTATGAAAGCTCCACTTGGGTTTTTCCAGATGTGTTCAAGAGGCAACAGTGAGAACTGTACAGGCAGTCCTCGACTTACGACAATTGGAACCAGATTTTCCATTGCTAAGTAAGACAGTTGTTAAGTGGCTGGCGGCCCATTTTACCTTTTCCTGCCACGGTTGTTAAGCCAATCACTGCAGCTGTTAAATGAATCACGCGGCGGTTAAGCGAATCTTGGCTTAGGTTACAAATAGGGATCCAGGGGAGGGCAACCTTGGCTCTTTTATGACTCGTGGACTTCAACTCCCAGAATTCCTGAGCCAGCATGGCTCAGCTTGGAAAGCTCTCCCTTTCCCTCAGCATGGCTGGCTCAGGAATTCTGGGAGTTGAAGTCCACAAGTCCTAAAAGAGCCAAGGTTCCCCACCCCTGACATAAACCCAGGATGTTACAATGCACGCCAGTTGCCAAACACCTGGATTTTGATCACCTGACCATGGGGAGGTTGCAATGGTCGTAATTTGGAGGACTGACTGTGCCTTTTTTCGGTGCTGTCGTAACGGCAGCTGGTCGCTAAACGAATGGTTGCAAATGGAGGATTACCCGTCTTCCAAGTTTTCAAGGTCAAGTTCGAGTAAGACTGAGCTAGAGGAAGCCTTATTTTGTTTCAGTCTAACCCAGCCAAGCTGCCAGTTGAAAAAATACAATTAAAGAAAAAGGAAATCAAAAGATGGGCAAAACTACCGATCTATATCAAATATATTTACCTCTCGATGGATATTTTGGGTAGATAATATCTACCTGCACAGGTGTGGGGTCTTCAAGGTCTCTCTCTCTCTCCCAACCTTTTCCCACCTGCCTGTTCTTTCTCCTTTACACAACAAATAGCCAGCCTGCAGTGTGAACTTGTCTGTCTCCTGATTTTGGAGAGCTTAATAATAATAATAATGATAAAGTTGGAAGGGACCTTGGAGGTCATCTAGTCCAACCCCCTGCTCAGGCAGGAAACCCTATACCATTTCGGACAAATGGCTGTCCAGTCTCTTAAAAACTTCCAGTGTTGGAGCATTCAACGCTTCTGGAGGCAGGTTGTTCCACTGGTTAATTGTTCTAACTGTCAGGAAGTTTCTCCTTAGTTCTAGGTTGCTTCTCTCTTTGGTTAGTTTCCACCCGTTGCTTCTTGTCCTGCCTTCAGGCGCTTTGGGGAATAGCTTGACTCCCTCTTCTTTGGGGCAGCCCCTGAGATATTGGAACACTGCTATCATGTCCCCCCTCGTCCTTCTCTTCGTTAGACTAGACATACCCAATTCCAGCAAACATTCCTTATATGCTTTAGCCTCCAGTCCCCTGATCCTCTTTGTTGCTCTTCTCTGTACTCTTTCTAGAGTCTCAGCATCTTTTTTACATCATGGTGACCAAAACTGGATGCAGTAATCCAAGTAGGATTTCCCCAAGTTTGCTATTACTTTCCTCTGCTGACTCACTCATTCTGGTTATCAAGGGACTGGGTGACAAATAAAGGGAATTGTCATCCTAGTGAGCCCAGGATATTGTTTTTCTGTCCCAATGGGGGTATATTTTCCTGTCCCAATCCCTGACCATTTCCACCGACTGGCTGTCTTATCAGAGAGAGAAGAGACCTCCAGAGAGAACTAGACATTTAAGCTGACAAGACGGATAAACAGATGAACCAATTATGGAACCTACTCAGAGTTCCTTGGATGTGTTGAGGTTTGGAGTCAGGCTCGTCCTCCAGAAAACAATCTCCCAACAGCTGCAGAGGAAAACGAATGATGGTCGACCCCTTATCTTTATGCTGGAATATTATCTAGGAAAGCAATTCAGATTCAGATTCAGATAACCTTTATTGTCATTTTCTTTCCCCTATGGGCACAACGGCACGCATTAAAAATGAAATTCGGTTGCTTGCTCTCAACTGTACACACACACACAACACACATTTAAAACATGCTATATACAATATATTTTATTTATTTATTTATTTTATTTAACAGGATTTATATGCCGCCCTTCTCCCCATGGGACTCAGGGCGGCTCACAGCGTATTAAAACATCATACAAAAAATTTCCCCTACTAAAAACCAATTAAAACCCAAATATTGGTAGCTGTGGCTCTTTAAAATCGTTAAAAATTGTCCCTATTTAAAACTCACCCTAGGT